TCCTCAACTAGAGGATGTAGCACCCAGAAGGTCGGAACGTCTGCGCACGAAGCTATTTGACGGGGGGACGAGTGTGGTGAGAGCAGGCTGCTAGCCGATTGGTTGGCACTAATCTACGTTAAGGTCTAGGTCACTAATATGGGCCGTGAGAAAATATGAACAAGCCTGAGTCAACAACCAATCACAGCAAAGTTAACGTGGCAAAATATGATTCGCATTTGTCAAGGAATCCCGAAACAACCAATCAGAAGCCTGCGTTTGTCTACCTAAACAACCAATCAGATGACTGCGCTTGTCTATAATAATGTAGTTGAAAGATGTATAAATACGTGTTGATTTTCATAATAAAACGATCTGTTGCCAGCCCTTGTCTTCTGTTGTTACACTAGCACTGGTTATATTCCTAGTTTTGTGGAGCTCAGTAATGCGGTAAGTGCTTACCAGTGCTAACTCCACTTACTGTCGACAATTCAGTTCTCCTCCTCCTCTCCATGGAATCCATCTCTCCAATATCTGATACTGCTTCAGATGATACACACATTTATGCCTGGATACTACTCATAAATCTTATCAGTAGGACACGCCAAAGTAGTAATAATAGTAGTATCATTAGTAGTAGCAGTTAATCAAGTACAGTTCAACGTAGCGAGCGCAATAATAAAAACCTGTGGAAGCGCAGCAACGAATCAGAGCATAACATGCATCCATGTACACAGTCAGAAAATTCAAATGGAGAAGCGAATATAATCAACCCATTTTTCCACGGAAATATCACATCTGTGAATGTGTGAATAGTTACAAACAAGCACAACAACTTTGTATCAGTGCGATTTGTCAGACAGTGAATCTACACAAAGATGATGTTGTGTAGATGAACTTGCAGAGAGCTGAAATGGAGATTGTTTCGGATAATGTGAAATGAGTCGAATTCAATCGAGTGTTTGGAATTGTGAAAATCGAGAGATGGCTCTACATTATTTCTGGATGACTTTGATTGTGGGTGCTGAAGGGAAGAAATACTTGAACGTAAGATGATGAATTCAGCGGCTTTTATTGTTAGGTATTCGTTACATCAAGTTTTTGAAATACTTGAAGACTTAGTTTGTAGGGATTTCATTTATTTGAAGTTTGACCATAGACTGAAGCTTTTGAAACCAGAACAAATCACAAGACAGCTAGTACGTCTCCCCGATTGTAACTCTACAGCAATACAAAGTCATCGGGATTCAGAAACACCACGTGCCCTATTAGGAGACAGGCTTGTAGTTAATTCTGCCACTGAGACTCCTTTAAATGGAACACAAATGTTTTTTTTTATCAATTCACGAATTATGCGAGACTCTTCACCATCTGATTTCTAGCCCAGTGAGCCTGAGTTTTGAGTGGAATTCTGAGTACCGTCTCTAATTAGAACGAAACAACTTTACGGTATTTGATGATGGTTTTCACCATTTACCTATCTGATAACAACCTGTCGTCAGACTTAGCAAATCGGTTATTCCTATCGCTTGACATACATAAACAGACGGTATGAAGTTCCTTAAAGTGGATATTTCCGTCTCTTAAAGTACTGTTTCCAAAGTTAGTATGATAATAAAAACTGTGAGACATATTTATTCTCGTCCTGTCAGGTATAAATTCCTCTCATGACTTGAAAGAACAGTGACTTAGTGCTCAAAAATTAGTGTCTGAGGACGATATGGAAGTGATCGGTTAAGGGGAGGGGTGATGAAAGACTGCGGGCTATCGCGCAACCCGCTAATAAAAGAGCAGAAGAAAATAGAGGTCATCAGTACATTTTCACTGCTTTGTTATGACCTATGTCCCATAACAAATTTGAATTCATTTCAAGGAAATAGCACAATAATTTCGTCTGTATGGTCGAAAAACCCGATTAGATTTCTACTCTGACAAATAACTTCACAGTGTCATGTTGTGGCAGTTCTGTTTAGCTGTTAGTCATTGTCATTGATAGGAGCGAAACAAACGCTTCACTGGGCACTTAGTTGATAGCGAATAATTGACTACAAGGAATCTAATTATTCCGGAGCAGTTTAAGGCGTGGACATCGTCGGTGTGTCAGTAAAGTGCTCACCAAACTCTGATGTAGTCTGTGATGGATCCACGGGCCGACGGATTCTTAAACCTCGCTAAAGCTTCCGTGAAGCTTGGATTAAATATGCATCAGTTCATGTTTATACCCAAACTGGATATTTTATTCGAAAGCTTTACTGAACACAGAGCAATAGATAACTCATGTCGTTTTTATGATGAAATCCTGTAATTAATCAAACCTCTGCAAACCGACACTTGAATGAAATTTGTGTTTTAGATTGGTATTATCTGCACGATGAAAGTAGATTGAATAGTGTCATGAATGTATATCTGTAAATTTTGAGCAATGTTCAGTATACTTTCATGCTGAAATACAACTTTGTATGTCATTCGCTTTTATATGGTTCAGAGACTTGACTTGTGCACCACCGAAGTCATTTTTAACAGACCTCAGAATTTCATATACCGCTGCTTTCGCTCCAAAATAAAAATGAGATTACCACCTACCACTAAAGGTTAGTAACAAAAAAGACTCTATCAACAAATCAAGTAAGAACCAGTTGTACAGGAAATTTGCCGAAGGAAATGCAGAACGAGTGAACACATATTTGAGGGACGACTGAGTGATGCTGCTAACGGGTTACGATAAGTTGGGAATGGTTCCGAGTATGAAATGGAAGAAATTGGTCGTGGAGGAATCTAGAGACCAACAAACAGGTAATAGAAAAAAAGGAGTGGGATGACACCATACCACCGGAGCCCTATATTTCACTCGGAACTCAAGAGAATAATAGTAATTCTTGACATTTCGGTAGAACCTGTCAACTGAATACTCTATATACACGGGTATATAGACCTTTGAAATTACATTGGGATATATAAGACTGATAAGTAAACAAACTACATTGAATTAGTCACGCAGAAAGACAGGTGCGAATGTTTTCCAGGCCATGTTCAAATAGATAAGGGGAGAGGGAGGTTAAGAGATCAAAATTTAGATGTGGACTGTGGATATGATATCGACGCTATCAAGCCATTCACTATTGTCAGCAGACAAAGATACAGCAAGATGCTTGCAATTCCTAAGGAGGCTTGTGCAATTCAGGTTTATAAACCAGGTCTCTGTGTACAAAAGGAGATGGTCGTCACTCTGAATCTACCATGTTAATACATTTTACTTTTTATTCTACCTCTTATTATTATTATTCTTGGTTCATTTAAAACTATCCTTTATCAGTAAGATTATCTTAACTCACTTCAGCACCATTATTGTTGTTTTTATTATTATTATAACTATTACTATTGATATTACTCTGTTTGGGATTCTTGTTATATTTTCTAATGACTAATTGTTTTTCTAAGTGATGTAATTGAAGCGTAATGCATTTTATCGTAATAGTAATTCTGTTAGTTAACCTTGATAGCTTACTGTGTTTTAACTGGGATTAACCGCCAACACTGCGGTTTGAAACATTCAGAGTGAAATAGAATTTTGCGATTATTGACTGTCATATGCATGCGAAATGCAGTCCAACTGTTCTCTGCCTTTATCAACCCAATTTGGAATTTGCTCATTTTGTCAGCTTTGAGAAATGGAGCCAAGGCCCTCACACTTCAGAAATTCGTTTGACGTATGGAGAATATGTGGACTGGTTGATATTTGATTAGTTCTACAAACCACCTGATGAGAAAATAAATGTAAATTATGTCACAAATAACCCGTATAATTGGTGAGTCATATATCACTTTTGACATACTAAATTCAAGATTCTGGAGGCTCAAAAGCGACTTGCCTGAAGAGTGAAGGAAAAAAGGCATGAGAGATCACTTTGCGAAATCGCAGGCAATATCACCCAGCATATTCAAGTCATCATGAGATATTTGTAGAGAAAACTGTACTGCTTCGCAAATACGACTATTTATTTTGACACCCCATAACAAACCTTTAATTCGACGTATAGAATGTGTCCGCCGCATTATCGGCCATTATTGAAAGGGCAGCAAATATTCTGTTTTATAATTGTAAGAACCTGAAGAGGAGAAGGATGTATTGGAAAGAATATTCTTCGTTCACACTGACGTTTAGTTCATGATATGGGAATATTTCACAATAATAAAGATTATAGTTCTTGCACAGACCTGAGTTGCTCTTCTTTATTAGCTGACCAAGGTCGCCTTCCTTCCGATCGGTAGACACCTGCTTTATCGTTCACAAAATATTGCTATAATGGCAACAGCATATGCACCGCAGATTCGAGATCCCATTTAACTGCTTTGAAAGGAATTTCGTCTCCTCGGAATAACTTTCCGAACTTCAGTAGATTGACTGCTTTCGTGAGACAACTGAGGTCCACTGCTTATCAAATTAACTAATTTTCTCAAAACGCTTCCATACTACTCACACAATATTTTGTATACTTTGATCACACACACACACTCACTCACAAATACGCAGATATCTTATCAGACTAATTAACCACATCATTATATTCAGTGTATTCAATTCACTTCGTTTCACATACCTTCAAATTTCTGGTCGTACGACAATTCAACAGTACACACACATCATTTGTGAAGTTAATTAACAAACTAAGACAAAGACCTTGACACAACCTGATTGTAGCGCCGACTACTTTTGAAATATGGAATGTTGAAATTGAAAAGCAAAGAAAGAACATTGATGTATTGTGATTTGGCGTTGTTATCTGAGGTGAAGCTGGTCACAGATGTCACAGTGAATATAGATAGATACTAGTATAACAATGAAATGGCGATAAGGGGGAATATTTCAAGGTACTTCATCTTTGATGCTTCATACCTAAGTGAATTCTCATATACTGATGTACAGATCGTTATACGGACCATCAAGTTTTCTATTGGTCCATTTTTTAGAATAATTTATATATAATTCACTCAGTTTGTGGTTTCTCAATATCCATTTGTCGCTCAAAATGAATTTGTTCTATTTGGTGTGTTTACCTATATTAGTCGCTCTCCTTATTCAAGGTAATTGACGTCTTAATACTGTTTCATTATTGCTATTGCCAATTTAATTTCCTCACTGTTTATGGATACAATTAACTTTGAATAGTAGTTTTTAGTATTGTACTTATTTACCCTATTTGTTTTCGTGTGGAACATACGTCTTTGTCAGCATATTCGCAATTCTTTCACTTCTCTCTAAAATCATTTTCAGCCGCCGCTATAACTGCCGACTGATTGACTTTGATTCCTCTCGTCAAGTGCTAGACCTCTTCTGTGAGGCAGAGGGTGCAGAGGGTCTGGCGTCAACCATGCAACAGTTTTCTCAGTGTATTTTTGATCCATCTCTACTCCCTATGGTCTAAGTGGTTCTCCGTAGCGTCCTTGTATCGGTTTCCTGTAGGCATTCCATTCTAACCAACAACACGAGCTTCAACAATAAGCGAAGTATGTGGCGGCCTTTATGAAATAATAATTTCGGTGGCACGTGAGCCATGTCTCTGAAGTCTCTTGAAGAAACGGCCAGTCGTTTGCTTCATTTTGTCTAAAACATAATTAACAACGAGGAATGAATTGAGAATTGTTAAATCTATGTGTATATCATAGCTTGAATTATTGTTTTTTAAAAACGTTTTTTGCATGTCTGTGCACGTAGTGATGTCAGTTATAGAAGTATTGAAAGCCATAAGGGAGTTGTGGACAGCCGTTTCATCCCCGTAGTTTGGAACGCATCGAAAGTACACATTAACATGTTTCCAAACTCAGGACCTTCTGGTTACAAGTAAAGTCTGTAGACCATTCAGTCACAAGGACCTGATTCAATCATACATGAATCCTAACTTCTATCAACTGGTGATTTTTGAGCAATTTTTATTCATCACCATGCCTGAAGCAAATCCGATCCTATAAGACAAACTCATGAAAATTAATCTGGTGGTTGTTTGTGACAGCCTGCAGGGGTTCTAGTGAGCAGCGGACACCAGGGGTGTCTAACCAGTCAGGAATGCGAACAAACATTCACTGGTGGCGGTCGCGCTAAAATCACAAATTGATGGGAGCTGGAATTCCTGGGACACTGAGATAGGTAACAGTGGCTGAATGGTCTACGATTTGCCCTCGTAACACGAAAGCTTTGGGTTGCCACTCTGGTGGATGTGTACTTCCGAAGAGTGTAAAACTAGGGGCATGACATAGATGTCCAGTACTCAGTTCTAGTTTTTATCTGTTCTCTAACTAGTAGTAGTTAGTGATCTAATATAAATTAGTATTGTTGACACATATGAACTGTTTACGTGGCTCAAAATAAGACATGTACAATCGAAACAGAAATGTATTGGTGCCTGAGCTATTTATCATGCATTTGTTCAGCATTCTTTGAGATTTAACAAAATCACTGACGGTTGACAGTGTTTACTAGGCATGCTTTTACCCCCAAATAATAATAATAATAAATAAATGACATCAAAGGTACCTCAGTGGATGAGATATCAATCAAACAATCTAAGAATCGTTATCATAAGAGTGGAATCTGTACATTGTGTCAGGATATAATAACATATGATATAAGTTCATTTAATAAGCATATAATGATGTCCTATTATTAACTGGATGACGTTTCAAGCACAATTTATCCATCATAATCATATTTCAGTTTATATCTAATTTGCCATATATTTGTTTACATATATTACTTCCCTGGAGGTGGTGGTTTGTATTGTGATTTCATCAGATATCCCATACAGGCATTTAGGTTTAGGCTTCCGGTTTAAGAAGCAATTTTGAGTGTACAATTATGTGTTACCTTAACTGTACTTAAACGGCACATTCTAGTAAGTACTTAGACTTTACTTCATCCTATCCAGAATCGGTGAAGATGATTTTAGTCAATTGTCTAAACAACTTGGCTAGGAGCCCAAAGATTAAACTAGAAGATTGAAATAATGAAGTGAAAGAAATAAAGAAAATATCACTAGTGAATAACACACTGTCCATAAGAATTTATTCACAAGTTAATGAAGAACCAAATAAAAAAATAGGATCGGTAATAGAAATGACAAAATAACATGGGGAATATAGAATTCAAAGCCTCTGAAGAACTTCTGGATAAGGAAAGAACATTGTCAGAGGTTTTATGTTGGATCCTCAATGAGGTTACAATTAGTCATGGCGGCCTTTTAAAACAACCAACTCACAGACCCCCTCACTCACTCAGAGGTAAACGTTTTGAGCTTAATGACCTGGCAGATCCATTTAAGAAAAATAATTTTAATTTACCAAATGCCATATTGTAATGACTGTGAGTGGGCTGAACTACATACATCAAAACTAGTAGAACAAGGTCATTTCAACTATTGAAACATAAAAATCTAGCGGAACATAGAATGATTCACCCTGTTCAGTTAAATAACCCACAGAAATACTCAGTCATGGCAATTCACTGACTAACATGTAATCTCACAGTAAGTGTGAGAGAAGGGTGAGATTATTCAAAAGTAGTATAATGAGGTGGAGAATGAGATATAGAGATGTTGATCACAGACTCACTCTTTATTGATTCAGAACCACACACGAGTAAACGAAATGATGCAACGCTTTCAGGGGATAAATTAGAAAATTTCAATAAATATAACGGTTACCACAAAATTATGAAGCCATATAAATAAATTGGTGTTCCAAGCGTCGCTGTGTTTTAAATTTAGTCAACTTATCATATAGGGAATCATACTTTAACATACCACGGAAATCCTACTGTTACATCACAAAAAACACTTGACGAGTTATGTTGCATAAGTGTCATTCCGGTCAAGTGATTGAAAGATTTCGTGAGTTCTGCTCATTAACTGATACATAATGTTCTTTGTATTTTAGATACATTTTCTGATGGTAAGATTTTATTAATGTTATTATTATCATCATTATTTTTGTAAGAATATTGATTGTGACACCGTCATCAAATGTATTTTATTTGGCATGTTGTGTAAAGTCTGTAAAATACAAACATTGGTCTAATCTGCATTGTCGATGTGACAGTCTCATGACTTATTGATAGCTCAATCTACCAGGATTTAACTCTGTCAATTCGTTTGTAATCAATTAATTGTAACACACGATATTCACAGGAGTCATAAGGTTTACGTTCTGATTATGTTATCAGCTCTTCTAGGAGGTCCATTTGGCGAAGATATGCTTTCTCAAATATCATTAAATGTGCTGTGTTCACGACTTCTATCAATTTATCTGGGGAGAATTGTTTGCTGGCAGTTCTGTGTTTTTACTGATGACATTTCTGCACAGATTGACATATAAGTAGTTACGATACCTCCAGTTGGCGATGTTACAACGCCTAAAATACTGAAGGAAACCATGTCCTGTGACCGGACACTGTCTAATGTCGTGCATCTTGTCCTTCGTTTGTTACAGACTGAATTCTATCTGTCGAGGTTACGATGTGGCTACCATCAAGTTATGTGGCTCACTTTCACCTTGCACTCTGAGTTGTTACTGTTATAACATAGTTGGTGGCTATTGGCAGGAAGCCTTGAGCTTCAGGTGTTGTGATACTTGTCAGCAAGGCATATCTGCAGAATGGAAGGAATTCATGTCGCTTCTGAGTTTCGAACCTGTGTAAACCAGTAGTGACTGAAGTCAGAGACATTACGACAGAGCTATAAAAATCGATGGCTTATTGGCGAAAAAAGCATATTCTGATAAGCTGGTAAGGTTATTGAACAAAAATTACAAATAGGTAAGAAGTCAGAAACACTGAGTGGATAGGAAACCATCTATGCAGAAGACAATCATTTTCCCGAATACCCAAATTCAGCTACAAATGTTTCTCGATAAATTTGGAAAGTGTTCATGGCAAATCATCACCGTAAGCCTTAGCACTTTGAATGCTAAAATACTTTCTCACATAATCCTTGCTTATTTTTCAGTTAACGTGGAGAGAAGCTTAACCGAGAGGCCAGCCACAGGTATATTTGTTTGAGTTAACTCGAATTTCTCTCTGATGATCAAAAGAAGGCCATCCTCTCTATGGTGACCATAATTGAAATCCAAGATGTTCACTTTCTACAAACTTATGGATATACCCCACACCCAAATCCCATGAATAAATCTCGTATAAGCAGCATCGTTTGAACCATAAGCAGCATCGATGAGGATGTCGAAAACAAGATAGGAATTATAACAGACGGACATGTATTATTCGAAAAGCAGTTTAGAAATCTCCTTCACTAAGCATTAAAAATCAAATTTCCAGTTTTCAATACTTATGTCAAGTCATTATAGATAAGATTTTATTTTCATAAATTACACAGTGTTATAAAGTAATATTAACTGATGACGTTTCGAGCAGAGGTTGTCATGTGATGTATCGAATGATTAATTGAAACACTCCTCACAATAATCGATTCCACTGAAGGAATTAAACGTGTGATTAGTCGGTGAGAGGTTTATCTTGTATTCCTACTTCAGAAGTGATTGCAGCAAGCTTGAACACAATCCTCCTCCGTCTATTCCATATTAGTTTCTTTATTAGATGTATCACACAGTGAGTGAAACAGTATTTTTTACTGAATGACAATGTTTCGAACAAAATTTTTTTGCTGTTCATAATCATATCAATTGTAATCACACGACTCAGAAACTTGAGTTTTAGAGTTTTCTTTGTCTTCTCCTATTTGTCGTTGTAGGGGTAGTAGAATTTTCCAGATATCCGGCTGGACAGGTGTTGAATCATTCCTATTATACGTATTCTCCTCAGTTGATTCGATAAACAAAGCTTCTGTTATCGATCTCTCCCTCCACCTCGTGACAGTAGATTTCAAAACTGTCATCCTATCCCATCCTATCGTATGGTTGTGTATAACTGCATGTATTGATATAGCTGATCTATTTTCTAGATTTCTTATCTTATTCGGGTCAACCAATCTAGAGTTCGCTGCTGGGTTTTTATGTTCGGCTAGTCTGACTACCTCTGTTCTACTAGTTTGACCTATGTATTTAACGTGGCAATCATTCCAGCAGGGTATTAGATAAACTAAGTTGTTTTGGTTTAAAGGTTCCGCTGGCAGGATCTTTTAAACGACAAAGCTTGTTTCTAATCGAGTTTGTAGGTTCGAATGCAACTTTTATTCCTGCATTGTTATGAATTCTATGGAGGACTTAATATATGCGATGATAGATTGATTTTTAGATTTCCCTACATACTTTCTGACTAATTTATCAGGGTAATTATTAAGTTTCAAGGCTATTTTTATGTGTGTCGTTTCCTGTCTTAGATTTTCCTTGGTACTACTTAGTTTTGTGCTCTGTCACTTAAACATTTCACCAATCCTATTTGGACTTCCGATCCTCCCATCCAATGTCAGTATATGTGTATTACATAGGTCAAACTAGTAGAACAGAGGTAGTCAGACTAGCCGAACATAAAAACCCAGCAGCGAACTCTAGATTGGTTGACCCGAATAAGATAAGAAATCTAGAAAATAGATCAGCTATATCAATACATGCAGTTATACACAACCATACGATAGGATGGGATAGGATGACAGTTTTGAAATCTACTGTCACGAGGTGGAGGGAGAGATCGATAACAGAAGCTTTGTTTATCGAATCAACTGAGGAGAATACGTATAATAGGAATGATTCAACACCTGTCCAGCCGGATATCTGGAAAATTCTACTACCCCTACAACGACAAATAGGAGAAGACAAAGAAAACTCTAAAACTCAAGTTTCTGAGTCGTGTGATTACAATTGATATGATTATGAACAGCAATAAATTTTGTTCGAAACATTGTCATTCAGTAAAAAATACTGTTTCACCCACTGTGTGCTACATCTCATAAACAAACTAATGTAGAATTACTTACTACCACAGTGCCTAAGTTTTACACACTTATTAATGTGACTCCTCCAGCTAATTTCATGTTTCGTCGGTGAATTTGTTTTCCGTTCATTTGATCACTTATATGTTCTCACTTATTTCGTTACTGCAGTTTCAATTCAATTAGGACTAAAACTTGCTTTCTGGTATAGCTTCTAGCAGTTGCGTTGAAATCTGTCAATATTTTTACTCCATCATTTCAGCTGAGTACATTCAGGCTACTGAAAAATCAACAGTGGGTGAGTGAGACAGTGCGATCCATGTCTTTTTACATAATTTTCACTTTATCTTAATTTTAATGTCTCTATGCTTTGGTTTATTGAAATCTAAACGCTTGGATTTCCATATGATAGAAAAGGTTTGTAGCTCAGGTGGATGAGTTTGAGGTGGTTGTGTTCTCTGAGCCATAATACACTCAGTATAACTAGAAATCTTCCTCTGCCTTGTTGCCTTCCTGAAGCTGAATTCCAACGAAATGCTCTACTCTATCTCCACTGTTCTCGCAAGCCATCTTCTTTCTTTTTGCATGACTTTCCTCTGCCAGGAGAAATCAATCCCCTAGTTACGCTGATGATCAGACCACCTCGTTGCCAATTAAGTCGCAATCTGACCGTTACAAACTGAACGGCTTTCTGTCGGACATCAGACTGTGATCTCAACCAAATGGTCTCACCTCAGATCTCTCTAAATACCGGGATGTCAACTTCACCTCCAAGCGTAAACCTCATTCACACGAACTGATCCCCACACAAGGTGTTTGTTGCGTAACAGGCACTGAGGTAGAAACAAAGTCATTCATTGAATAAATTGCAATGACCTTTCTTGTCATGTCGATTTCTAAGCAAACGTTCTGTCTGACCTAGTACACTAGGAAGTTAGGACAATCAGGGATCACTCAAACTTTACTTTCACAACATTATAATTCGTGCATCCTACCTATATTTATTCACTGCCAACGCATAATCCTCCTCAGGCTACTCAAAATGGACTATATCATGTTGTAGAGAGTATAAGAGTTTGTCGGTAAGGCTAGTGGTTGGCCACTAAGGCAGCTAGCTTGTCACTATTTTAGCTGACAGACACTTTGACTGGCGTTATAGATGGTCTGAATCTATCGTGTCTGACTCTCACCCTACTGGGTGGTGAAAGCTTCGCAAATTAACGATCCATCTCAGAGAACACAACCACATGAAAACCTGAATTTTCGTTTCTCACCCTGAAGTCCACTAGTCAACTATGTGTTCAAGACGACGTGAATAATGAACTTTGATTTTCTACCTATATGTTGTCAGCAGTGAAACCGCCTGGCAGGTTAGCATATACAAACTCAAAAATCACTGACGCCAATGACATGATTCTTTCAGAAGAGGTTAAGGTAAAGCTGCAACATCAGTTGCCACAAACAATCGCAGGTTTCCTACTGTCCAGTCAGAGTGGTGTTTTTTCGTGATAACACAACTAACATATATAGTGAATGCATCAAAGCCTTTGTCACATCCACATAAGAATTGATTTCATCTACTCTGTTCTGTTGAATACACAATTCGGATAACATGCTGGCTGATACATTCAAGCCACTGAATCTAAACAAGGTCAAAGAGATATATTATTTGAAGGAATCAGTCACTCTAGAAGACATATCCTGTAATGGCCTAGGCGTTACTGGAAGCGTCAGTTTTCTGCAAATCGTGACTTTTTAATGAGTGGATTATTTCAATGTTTCCAGCCAAAATATTATTTCGAGGTTGAATATCTCTGACCTTAGGACAGTGAAGAGTAGAGAAGGGTTACGTTTTGTCGAATAACTGTGAAAATGAGAAACCTCACAGTCTCCAATCATGATGATACTTTTATTATTATTATTATTCATAGTGATTTGCTTTATTCTAAAACAGCATTTATGACACAGTGTAGAATTTTCAGCCTTTGGTACATTGTTGCAATTAATTTACTCAAACAACAGCAAAAACGATAATAGAAAATTATAAACATCAGGATAAATGTAACTAGAATCCTTCTTAGCTTTTATTTTGGTATGAGCAATGACAATACACTTAGAAATGTACAGAATGTGTGAACTAATGCTGCTGCTGATGATGATGATGATATTATCAGCTGAGATGGCAAGGTGATTGACACAGTGTCTATCACCTAAGATAACAAATAAGAGAGGACCAAAGAGTCAGTACATTTCCCAGCTACATAGAATGTTGTACGCTTGACGCATTACACTATCTCTGCCACATAGAATGCGGGTCGGACAGCAAATCTTCGGGTTTTTCTAGTCAGGTGCACGCACATATAGTATTCGCAATGAATTCTAATCTAGCATGCTGAGATGCATGCAGGGCAGATTCGTAAATACAGGGGTTGTCGAGAGTCAGACACGATAGATTCACACCATCTATAACGCCAGTCAAAGTGTCTGTCAGCTAAAATAGTGACAAGCTAGCTGCCTTAGTGGCCAACCACTAGCCTTACCGACAAACTCTTATACTCTCTACAACATGATATAGTCCATTTTGAGTAGCCTGAGGAGGATTATGCGTTGGCAGTGAATAAATATAGGTAGGATGCACGAATTATAATGTTGTGAAAGTAAAGTTTGAGTGATCCCTGATTGTCCTAACTTCCTAGTGTACTAGGTCAGACAGAACTTTTGCTTAGAAATCGACATGACAAGAAAGGTCACTGGATGGAACCATTCCAATTTATTCAGTGAGTGACTTTGTTTCTACCTCAGTGCCTGTTACGCAACAAACACCTTGTGTGGGGATCAGTTCGTGTGAATGAGGTTTACGCTTGGAGGTGAGCAGTTTGTAGGAATTTAGCTTCAGTAAGCAAGGCAGAGGAAGATTTCTTATCATACTGAGTGTTTAATGGCTATAGACGTTCCAGTCGAACCATACTAGTCACTTTACATGGGCTGATCCTCTGTAGATACTTAGAGCCATAATACTAATTTACTAGTTGAAAGGCATGCCTCGGCTTACTACAGAAATTCTAACTTTGTTTTATCAGTTTTCAACAGCCAGTTAATGACCTCGTTTATATTTTTTCTCTAATTAAATGACGTGGATATGCCGTTACGCACAATAGTCAAAAATAAAATAAAAGCTAAACCATACAAATAATTCTTAGAAACCCTTCAATCTCTGAAGTGTGAGGTCAAGCCAACTAAGACTTATTTAAATATACTTGTATATACAGAAGCCTATGATATCAAGAAATATAATGGAATGTGATAAAGCATTTAATGAATATATACTGGCTGGCAGTACTACGGTATGTTATGGTATGATGTGGTGTGGATATCGTCAGTAGGTGGATCGATTTTAATCAGAATTGATTCACAAACAAAAGTCAGTTACATAATACTCGCAGATTAGTGAGTGGCAAATAATAGGAACTCTGAAGAAAGAGACATTTGAAATCCCTATGGAGAAGACTTCAAGATTGAAACCAGATTAGGGAACAGAGATCAAGGTTGCTGCCCTATTTTAACCTGGAATAGATAAGGGAAACATAAAACAGATTGTGTTCAACCATCAGGAGGACTGCAGAGGACAGAGTGAAACTCTCAAGACCAGTATCCTATTTACCAAAATGAGCTGTTCAATCTGATTGTAGTAAATCAATCACATATACATATAAGCTGAACAACTGAAGATGCGTAGTGACAGTAGTGTTCTTATGACGTCACCTAATTCTCTCTGTAGATGTTTCATTTTGAAATCCGCTGTTTTTTTTCTTCGACTTTAGGAAACTTTATGTTTGTTTGCAAAAAATGGTTTTTTAAATACCCACCCCATTTTCTAGGTAATTTATGATTAAGGTTATTTTAGAATAAGTTATTACACTGCCAAGCGGTTTTTGTAATTGGATAATGATGTTCCGAGCACTAATCTTTGCTGATAGGCATGTCACTTAATGCATATAGCTTCACAACTTCTCTCATACATATTCTTCTATTTCTGTTTACCTTGTTCTTTGTCACCACTTTCCATATCTCCAGTATATGCTTTGCATCATTTTGATTTCACATGTATGTGGTGTTGATTCGATAAAGCAGGATTCCGTGATGAACCTGTCTGTCTCTCTGTCTCTCCCTCTTTCACCATTTACACCTGTTACTTGAGAATAATTTTACTGCTTCCCACCCAATGATGTGATAACATGCAAGTGAATGTATTGCCATTACTGTGCGTTTTTCTTAGATAATCTGATTTTTGATTTTATTCCTTCACGTTCTTAGTGGAACATAGGGTGGGTTCAAGCTAGTGGCTTGAAGTTTCTGTTGCCTTATTTATTTTTACAGGATGGGATTGCTAGCCTCATGCCTAACCTTTTCTCTATACCAGCTTTATTTTTGGCTTAGCGAGGCAAAGGAGTGCGTTGGTGGCCGAGGGTTACACCCTGGACAATGTGCATGGTCGGCGGGTGTCCTAACTATTGTGCCACCGACGTAATTTGACTTAGCAAGTTCAATCTTCGTAGCTGTAGGTGACTTGTTATACTCTGGTAATCTAATTGATCTCAATCTACTAGTTCACCCTATGATGAAACAGATCTCATAGTCATTACAACACGGTAATTGGATATACTGGGTCTTTAAACCAAAAATGTTTATTTTGTGAAAGAGTTGATTGGTTCGAATGTACTATTTCCAATTTCGACCTTATTAGGAAGCTCATGGAAGCTCCCTGAGGTTCCCTGCTTATATGCCAGTAATTGTGTGATTTGGGATTTTCAAATCTCGTCCTATTGTGTCTATGGATTTCCGTACATGTTCTAATTATTTATTTCTGGTGCATATTAATTCACTAGTAATATTTCCTTTATTTATTTGATTTCATTATTTCAATCTTCTGGCTTACTAGTTAGGCTCTTGGTACGATTATTTAGACACTTCAATAAATCTTTCTTTTCAAAAGAATCGATACTGAACAAAGAATACACTTTTCTACAGTTATAGATACGTGTTGATCACGGACTGATATCAGTTGGAGAACCAGGGAGTACTAGACAGCTGTTTCATCCTAGTTTGGGAATCATCGACAGTACGCACCAACTGGGACTTCAACTCAGGACCTTCCGGTTACCAGGCAAGACCGTATACCATCCAGCCACTGGGACCTAATTCAATTGCTCATGAATTCAAATGAAACTGGTTAGAGTGGCGCTAAATCACGAACTGGTGGAAATTAGAATTCATGCAGTGGCCATTAAAGCGGGTCCTAGTGGCTGAATGGTATACGAACCTGCATTGTAACTGGAAGGTCCTGGGTTGGATACATTATAGTGAATGAATGATCTATCTATCTTTACTGATTTTGGATAGAATGAATTAAAGTCTGAGTATTCATTGGAGTGTGTCAGTTTTCTTATAAATGCTAATATCTAACCACCCACCATCGTGTTTTCGTTTTATTCTAAAGTCTAGCATAATGAACTCAACTTGTTCGTTTCTTAATTCAGAAGTGTGAATTAGATCTCATTTTCTATGGAGTTTATTTGTGTGAAGAACTTGAGCGATATGTTCATATTTCAACAAAGAAGCGGGATTAAGCGTTCTAAGAGCCTTATCTTGATGATCATCGGTATATATGTTCTAAGAGCTGCCATGACACGTGCAGTCGGAATATCACAACGCTTATACCAGAGAGATGGATAGTGTTAACAGACAACAAGGGGAAATGAAACAAGAGTATAGTCAAAGAGAAATTTGAAGTCACATGGCCGAAGTGATTTGATAATGAGGAGTGCATTCTACTCGAAACGTTATCAAGCTAGTAATACTGCATCACTAAGAGATATTTAAAATACACTTACCTGGTATGGAATTACATTCTACCACAGATTCAAGTGTTACACTTACTCTGAAGCAAATCCTATAACAGTCCACCTATACATAACACTTGTACCACGTTTTACTCCTTGGTTTTATTGCAGACTCTATTTTATCCACTGAGGTTATAGTTTAGATGGTTGAAAATAGTCCGTGAGCGGCCAAGTGCACACGTTAAATTAACACGTCTGCAGCCTTAAAAGCACTGATATCTCTGTTATGTACTAGTTTTCCCCGTCGCCAAATTGTTATGTACTCGTCGCTAAGTTATTGTTATGGACTGGTCGAGAAACTAATAGTCCTGACGCAAGAAGGCGGAAATCAGAAGACCACTAGGTTTGCGATCATACTTCTATTTTCCAAAAACAAGGAGAATGCAAAAGTGGTGTCACACCAAAAATAAGTAAAGGAAGTAAGTCACACAAATTGTGAGAGCGAAATATATATGACCATCCAGACAAGTGTGTGAACAAATCAATAGACAGTCTTAACATGAATGGCTAATTATAATGGAGTGTCGATCCAAATATACATAGCAAAATATAGCAGACATGTCAACAACCACCATATATGGATATATGTCACCAAGCAACGGACTGTCAACAAACACTCATATTATATACAATATAAGGGGAATATACATTGTTAAAGGAGACAGGTTCATCAAAGTGAAATGGTCACAGACTAAGAGAGCAAACAGAAGGAGAGACCAACATACACACACACAAATATCAATCTAAATGAGAGTTTTAACCTCATCCGCAATCATTTAAAGTTGTTTTACACAACATAGACATATCACATGGAACCTGATAAAATGTTTCCATGATTTTGTATTCTAAAACTAGTTTGAAAGGCGCGACATTATAGCAGCTAAAATCATCTGATTGATCAAAAATCAATTTTCACTCACTTACACCTGATTGTGAAATCTACTACAGCTGGGCAGTGAACAGTGTAATAAAACTAACATTACAAATGGTAGATACATGATTCTATCTTCTACAGAAAAGATCGTTTATGATTTTGGATAAAACATGAGTCTGATTTGATGTGGAAATGTCTATATTAGGTCTTGATTCAGTTGCCTTAAGAGGGGTCGCAGTATGACATCATCTAGACGTCAATAGCATTCCACACCACATCTCCATCTCCTCCTACAAACCTATTGGACGATGGGTTCTTGTCTAGTTCACTGTTATGACTTGCCTAGTTCCTTGGCATTGTTTGTCGTTCTCGGTTGACTATGTGAGATGTTCATTGTTGACTGAAGAATAATATATGCTGAAAGAAGTCTGCAGTAGCCAGTTAGAAATGCTTTTGATGGTGTTAGCAATATGCTATGGAAGGATGCTTCCGAGATGAATAGACGTTATCACTTATGTGTTGATAAAATAGTGCATGATCATCCTTTATGAAGTTTTCTTTCAATCAATTTTTCATCTTATTACTAAAGTCCAGAGAAATCAATTTATGCCACGAATAATTCGAGAAATGCAGTTACATGACCAAAAACTCAATGACACAGTACACTCACACTCGCCAAATTTAGAGAGAGAGAGATGGATAAAATATAGTCTCCATGTTTCTCACCATCTTGTTTTTTTGTCTTTATATTGCAGTACATCGACGCAGAAGAAGTAAGCATATTTATTTTAACCACCGTATTCATAAGCTCCAATAATGACGTGTCGTTATTAGTAATAATGATAATTGGTAATAATAATGACTTCCATTATGGGTAAAATTTTTTTTGCTGATGGCGTTTCCAGCATAATATATATTACGGATAGTAAGTAGCTCATGGTGCTTACATCGCTTCAATTTGGCTATCAAGCACTAGTACTTAGTATGAACGGCATTCGACTAATCATATCATTCAGGCACAATCAATAAATATCCTGAATGGCTTTGACATCTGCTTTGGTTTTACCTGTGTTTCAAACAATATCGATTAGTATGACAAATGAATCCTTTCAAATTTCTTCAACTTGTATTGATTTACACTTGATGATTTTGCCGGTTATCTTCACCAACATAGTCCTTACTACGCTCACTTGAAGTCCGCTCTTTGATGTCAGACACTTCTGTCAATTTATTGGTTTTCGCCTCTACGTCTTTGACTTCATGAAACGTAAATTGTCTGCAAAGTCCAGATCTTCTTCACCCTTCCTGTCTATCTAGTGTGTTCATGCCTTCTTGTTTCCCACACTCTCCAGCATGATCCTGTACATCACAAAATGGAATATCATCAGTGATGGCAGGAAGAGAGCCTTGCCTTACTCATGTCTTCACCTCAAAGGCTCCTTGAAATGATGAACTGGTCAATAGTCCCTGTGTTGTAGATCATCTGACATAACACTTCAAGATCAGTCTACAGGTGTGTGTATCTGATTCTGTGGTGACTGAGAGTTTTACTTTCCATGTATTCAGCACACATTATTTTGTGAACTAATATCAGTTTAAGTGTTGGTTTGTAGGGATTTGGTTGGTTTCAGGACTTCATCATGAGCTGCCATTAGTTAGAGAACCATTGAAAAACCTGGAGTACCAGACAGCCGTTTCGTCCTAGTTCGGGACTCTTCAGCAGTACGCACCAACCAGTAGGGTGCAGCGGGTCGGGTGTGAGGACAAATACTCGTCGAAGACATTGACCAGCGGTCGCGCTATGTCGTGAATTGGCAGAAGTTAGAATTGAACGACCATAAGATCGGATCCCAGTGGCTTAATGGTATGCGAGTTCGCCTTGTAACCGGAAGGTCCTGGGTTCGAATCCCGATGGGTGTGTAACATCAGTCTACTTCTGTCATATTGCTGTCACTTCGATTATGTAGCTCGATAGCACAGCGTGTATCAGTCTGTTATTACTGCTGCAATATAAACAACAGTCAGTAGATATTCCTTCATCACCCATGGGATATACAGTGTTTCATCATTATTGCTTCAGCTTCCAAGTGGAAGATAGAACTTCAGCTACGCATCTCTTTTTCATCCTCTTCTCTGATATCCTCATCAATGAATTTTTCGTTGCGCACAACTTGTTATGCGCCATCATCATACACCTGTTGATTGAGGTTGATATGTGCTCTGGACATTCAACTCGGTAGAATCGAAGTACATGGCGAACCTCAGACATAGATTAGACTGTCAATCTGTGTCATGTTTTTTCCCACGAAAGCCTGCAATTTCACCTGCACCTGAGGTGATTCAAACTTATCTATGCATTAAAATTATTATTACCACTGTTATCAATATTATTATTATTATTACAGGGCCACACCGAATGTCAGCAGCTGGTGAGTTCAGTCTTACCGTTTATTTAATTTCTACTCACTGTTTCCGAAAGAATGGAGTTAAACGTGTGCAGGCGGAAAAGACGGCTCCACTGAAACATTCATTTGTGATGCTGACTTCTCCAAACTTTAGTACATGTTGAACAAATTTACCGCTCAATGGCGAAAATATACCACAGTAGTTGAGAGGTTGATAAACAGATTAGAAACTGAATGTGATCAGATCTAAATGGAATAAATAATCCAATTCTTTTCTCTAACATATTTGGATAACTTCCTCAGGGAACAAACCATTTCTTCAGGTTTGTTTCTATCTTAACATAAAGACAGCTGTGGAATTTGGTATCCCTCTTGCCCAAGCTGACTTCTTAAATCTCAGAACATTTCCACCAATATAGTGCGTGCTTTACAAATACATGTGACCTGGCTCATTTAGCGTGTTTTAGACTAACAGAAAATTTGACCATCAAATATTCGTCTTATGACTCCTATATCATCTGTTCAGATATACAAAGGTATGCACAAGGATGCAGGTAGTAGAAAGCGTCTACTCCATATTCTAAGCACAAGTATATTCACCTAACTTTGCATGAGAAGTCAGCAACTGCGTGCTAATATTTGAAGCTTCATTAACACTGGATAAACAGTGTTCCGGTGTTCCGGGTGATTGATCTGTTAACCTCGCACTAACCGAATAATGGAATCCACTTCGGTTTCCTATTGAGTCATAATCTTCAACGAAATTTCGATAATCACTGGCTGATCTGAGCTCTTTAATAAGCTTTCACGTCGCTGAATCCTCTACCTACTTAAGGATTTACTTTAATAGTCCATACCTATTTACTAAGCCTCTCCGTCTCTTCTCAACTCTCAAACTCTTCAACATATTGTCTGTAAATAAGTCTCGGTATCAAAAGACCGAAATTATCCTGTGAGTCATGAAGGAAATAAAGCGCATTTCTGAGAAGAAAATTTACTTTATTGACACAGTCACCTTCAACAGCTGATACAATCGTCTTTATGTTTACTAAACCGGATAACATTCTCTGAGTCACTGACATTAACGTATGACATGGTAGATACCACTACTTCGAAGGTGTTTCCTAAGACAAAATAACAGAATTACCATGAATCAACAAGGAATTGAAGGCTGAGGTTTGGAGTTTGACAAGCTGAAGCTTGTTTTCAGAAGAGAAGTGAGATGGCTGCATGTCCACTCTACAGCTGGGAAGGATGTTGGACAAACCTATACCACACAGAAGTGAGGCGGGATAACTCTTTTTGAACTGCTCAACATTGTGTTGTAGAGGTTTATAAGTGAGCACTTCGTTGGAGCTGCGTGGCATGAAGTCGTCAGGTGTTCGAGAGTTGAGATGGCAATCGCCTGTAGTTGTCCATACATTCTCCTCTCGCACTTTTTGAATGAGAGAATGTTCTGAGTGTTATGTCATCAAATCGCTATCAATCCCACTTAATGGATATATAACAATATCTCATGTCAAGTGACCCAGTACGGAAAGCACAGTGAAGACTCTACCTACTATAATCGATGATATTACTAGTTGTAGTTGGTTGGATAGTGTGTCAGACATCGTGTGGGCAGCGAGAAGACAGGACTATGTTGAACCGATGTGGAGACTGTAGAAGATGTGTACCTCACGGATGAGTTATATCGAATGTCACATAAATTCAAAGACTCACAAGAGCAAACCAACAAGTCGGCACAAGTAGCAGAGAGGCCAGGCCTTCGAGTGGTGATATAGGAGCCAGAGGTGGTGAAGATCACTAACTAATAACAGCGAGCACCAATCAATTTCAGGGGAAGAAATCCAGAAGAATTCACTTCTTCCTCCTATTTCGACTTGATTGTTTCAACTACAGGCGGGACATGTGAGCGTGTCAAAGCGAGCTAGGATCCGAAAGGCGAGGCGGACATTTATCCAACAGAAACGGATGTAACCATCTGGTGCACTGACCATAAAGAGCAAGATTCGAGCTTTTTACACCTATGATTCTTCCAAGTGTGTAGGAGAAATGCTGAGCACGTCACGGAAAGCATTTCCACCAGTTGTCTACTGACTTCCATCAAAATCTACTTTTACCGCATGTTGGATATGGAATGGCCGGTAAAAGTCTTTAACAAGGCAATCTAGAAATGAAGCAACCAGGAACATATCACCTGGAAAATATTTCGAAGAATGTAGAGATGGATCAGAGACACACTGAAGTGATCTTTCGAGTGAAATCAGAATGGGGAACGACTAGATGGTTGTGTGAGGAGGAGATAAGAACCTGTGAGCGATTGCTGGGCAAGCTGGAGTGGACTCCAGAGAACAGAATGAGCTGAAATTTACTTCCACCTTGAACCCAATGGAATTATAATAATTACAACACGTGTTGTGTATACGTGAATATGGTTGTACGGCTTGTATTATTATTATTGCTCCCTTAGGTTCCTAGTGGAACATAGGGCTTCAACTGCACGTCTCCATTTTCTTCTGTCTTCTGTTATACTTTTCGCCTGCATCCATGTTAATCCATATTCTTTTAACTCCTCTTCACACGATCTCCTCCATGTCACTCTTGGACGTCCCACACGCCGCTTCCCTTTCGGCCTGGTTCCACTCGAGCAATGGCCTTACGCGCGATGTCACCCAGCGGTCTCCCCAGCGAGTGTCCGATCCATCTCCACTTTCTCCTGCATATTTGTTGGGCGATTGGTTCTTGCATTGTTTGTTCCCATAATTCCTTGTTGGTGATTCTTTCCGGCCATCTGATCTTCAGTATACAGCGAAGACAGTTGTTAATAAAGTTCTGCAGCCTTTTGGAAATATTCTTTGTGACCCGCTAAGTTTCTGATCCGTATAGAAGAACTGACCGACTTGACGTTTGTATTGAATATCCGACCGAACTTTGTTGTTAATGCTGAGTGACGAAGATTTCCAGATTGATTTCAGGCTGATGAATGTGTTTCTCGCCTTCCCGATTCTCGATTTGATATCCTCGTCCGCTCCTCCTGTAGTTGAGACAATGCTCCCTAGATAAGTGAATGAAGTAACCACTTTCAAATCCCTCCCGTTGATGGTGATCGACGTTGGATGTTGTTGCTGTTGTTGGTTGGTTATTTTCATAACCTCTGTCTTGTCTATGTTTACCCGGAGTCCTGTCTTTGCTGCTTCTTCGACCAGTTTGTCGGTTTTCGCTTGTAAGTCTTCGATTTTGTGTGACATCAAACATAAATCATCCACACGCAAAATCCAGGTCTTCTAGGTTCTTCACGTCGGTCCAGGATATTCCTGTCTTCTCGTTTCCCACAGTCTGACGCATAGTCCAGTCCACCACAATTAGGAATATCATTGGTGATAGTAAGCACCCTTGTCTGACTCCTGTGTTGACTCCAAACGCCTCGCTGAGTCTTCCGTTGTGGATCACTTGACATGTGCCATTGTCGTACAGCTGTTGAATAAGGTTAATGAATATTTTCTGGGTACGCCATAGTACTCGAGTAATTTCCAAATTACTTCACGATCGACGCTGTCTAGTGAAGGCCTTCTCGAAGTCTATAAAGTTGAGGTAGAGGTTTGATCGCCATTCCATACTTTGTTCTGTGATGATGATGCGTAGAGTTGCAATTCGGCCAGTACATGATTTGCCTTTCCTGAATCCAGCTTGTTCTGGTCGGATTTCTGTCTCCAGTGCGTCCTGTAATGTCTCTAGGATGATACGACTCAGGATTTTACTTGGCGTCGATAGGAGCATGATTCCTCGCCAGTTCTTTCAGAGTGAGGCGTAAGTCGCCCTTCTTTGGTAGTTTCACGAGGTAGCCTTTCCTAAAGTCGGTAGGAGGCACTTTTTCCTCCTTCCAGACCTTTTGCAATAATGGAGTCAGCATGTCTGCTGTAGTGTCTGGGTCCGCCTTCAGTGCTTCAGGGGGTATTCCATCTGGTCCGGCTGTTTTTCCAGCTTTCAGAAGTTTGATCGCGTTCAAGACTTCAGCTCTTGTTGGAGGATTGGTGTCAACTTGCAGTTGTGTGCGCGCTGTTGTGCATCGGTGGCACAGTGGTTAGGACTCTCGCCGACCATGCCCATGGTCCGGGGTTCGAGCCCACGCCGACGCACACCTGATATCTATGGTCGGCCTGCGAATTTTGGGCTACCGATATCCACGCTGAAAATTCCACACCTGTCCCAAAATTACGGTGTGAAATCAAGCTGTAATCGAAAAATAAAAAAAAAATATTTCTGGACGGGTTGCAGGTGATGGTCGGTTTAAGAGTCCTTTGAGATGATCCGCCCATTGTTTAATCTGTTTTTCTTCCTTGGTAATGGGCTTCCCTTGGCTGTCTTTTATAGGTTTCGCTTGTGTTGGTCTCTTGTATACCTTTAATATTTTATATAATAAGTAAACTGACGGCAAGGAAATACTGGTGATTTTCTGATTTGATAGTAGGTAGCATCTAGTTCCATTCGTCTACGCCACTGAAAAGTTGTCACAGTTCAGGCTGAACAGCAACTGTGATTCAGTCTCAGTTTTCATTAATAGATAGTTACAGACAGTTGAAAGGAAGACTTAGACTCAGGTTTCAGGGTACTCATAGGTCAGCTGGGCGTCTAAATTCTGAGTGGAACACCAATTGGCGTGTGAAATCAGTGAACATGTTTAGCTGGGGTGCACTTTGAAGTTGCATGACCATATGAGAGAATTTAGAGATAAAGACAGAAACTGACACACGCAGTTCGTCGCAAAAGGTTGATATGAAGGTGAACTGTAAGTTTTGCTGTATTAAGCTCTACTGGTAATGATAAGAATGTCATTCTAGGCGTGTAAAACCAAGAAGATGTACCAGTAAATAATACACGCAGATAAATATAAAACTGCCAAAAGTGAAGACGCAATTTCAAGTAGTGGGTTCTAAGGTTACCAGAAGTTGGGGGAACAGAGTAACTTGAACCGGAGACTGCTGTTGCTCATCGATTCTAGCCATACGACCCCAGTGGGAAACGAAGAATGGTGCTGATAAAAGTTCGCAGTCAGTTTTAAATGCTCCAGAGGACGAGCCAATTCTCCGTGCTATATAGAATTAGAATATGTGCAGTGAGCACCACCAAATGAAAATACGCTTACTTATCAAATCTTCGCTTATTATTTCCAACTAATCACCTTTTCATAGAAAGAAGAGTGATGATGCGTAATCGAATCAGAGGTAAGAGAAATGTGTCAATTTTTGAAAAAGTATCTTTCTGACTGATTGAAATCATTTGCATACTTTTCCATGTGACGGTATTGGTGAGACACGCATTACCTCGTGGAACACCAGATACATTTCATTCCAACTTCCCTGAGTTTCGAGTATCTTCAACATAGGCTTCAACAGCACGATTGCCTTGCACGATCTCCTCCATTACACTTTCGAACGACTCACTAGTAGCTTCATATCGAGATTCTCCTCTAGCACTGTCCTGCATTGTGTGCGATATCATTCAACGGCCTCTCTTCAGTATGTGCCGGATCGATCTACATTGTCTTCTGAATATTAGTTGACCAATCGGCTCTAAGTTGATTCGTTGCCAAAGTTTACAATAACTAATTCCATCTGGTCGACCATCTGATCTTCAATATGCAGACAATGAAGGCAGTTGTTGATAAAAGTCTGGGACTTGTTGAAAATCCTTTTGCGGGATGCGCAGTGCAAGTTTCTGACTCGTTAGCCAGAAACGACTGACTTCACATTTGTGTTCAAAATATGAATCTTGTTCATTATGCTGCACAGTTCATGAGATTCCCAAACCGATTTCAGATTGATGAAGGTCTCGGTTGTCTTTCCGATTCTGTCTGAGGTTGACATCTTCACCCCTTCCACCTGTGGCTAGAACTGTGCCGCCCACATAAGTGAAGGAGACAACCTCTGTCAAATCTCTCCTGTTGATGGTTGTTGTTGTTGCTGTTGGTTGGTTATCTTCATCACCTCCACCTTCTCTAAGATCATGTGGAGTACCGTCTTCGCTGCCTGGTTCTTCAACGAGCCTGTTGGTTTTCACCTGCAAGTCTCTGAGTTTATGTAACATTAGACATTAGTCATCCACGCGTGAAATCCATATCTTCTTCAGTCTGCTTACCAATCCAACGTATTACTGTCTTTTCACTCTCTGTGTACAGTCTGACGCATAATCCAGTGCATCACAACTAAGAATATCATCGGTGGTATTAGATAGTCAGGCATGTCTCCTGTATTCACTTCCAATGCCCAACTGAGTTTTCCTTTGTGGATCACTTGACATGTGGTACTGTCAGATTATTGACAGTATTTGCTGAAATTCCTATTTTCGTGTTATTATTACTTTTGTTCCCTCAAAGTTTCGAGTGGGATAAATACATTCAACAGCACATCTATGACTCATGCTTTTCACTCAAGTCATTTTTTGAGTTGTTTATGACTGTACATAAGGCCTCTTCACAGACTCACAGGGCTCCTGCCATTGCAGCCTCGTGGCCTCATCCATTAGATTCTAATCAAGAGATAATCTGGTTCGCAATGTCACCCAAAGGTCTCCTCAGCCTATGTGCAATCCATCATCAATTCTTTAGATATATTTATTGTGCAATATGTTCATGGTAGACTTGTTCCTAGAGTTTCGAGCTGTTCGTCGTTTCTAGCCATGCGATCTTCAGTAGGAAACGAGGACTGCTACTGAGAAAAGTCTGGTTTTAAATACTCTACAGGGCGAGCAGGGTCTCTGAGCCATATAGAAGCACGGAAGTTACTTGAAATTAGTGTTTGAAATCTTAACTTTGTTATTTGTGCTAAGTTCAGTAGACTTCTTCACTGATTTCATATTAATGAGCGACTGTCTCAGTGTTTCGATCCCTACTGTCTTTGATATCTTCATCTTTAGCAATCGTAACTGAAACGATGCTGCCTAGTTAAATAAAAGGTGTGACCTCCTTCAAATCTCTCCTGTTGATAGTGATTGTTTCTTTCTGTTGTTGATAGTCGGGCATCTTAATAACCTCTGTATTCTCTCTATATTCATCTCTTCACTTCTTGCCTCTTCGGGTCGGTGGGTTTACCAGATTATTTGGTATCAGACAATAAATGGCTGCTTCCTGCATGCATTATAACATGTGCAGTGAGCAGCACTCACTGAACATACGCTAATTTATCAAATCTTCGCTTATTATTTCCTGATTAATTCACATTTATAGAACGAGTGATTGAAATGCAAGAGATGAATCGAGGTAGGTCAAAACTGCATAAAATTTGTTTGAAATATTATGATAAAAAATGCACTCAAAATATTTTTCCATGTAACGTTATTGGTATAAGACATGTATTACGTCGTGAAACGTTTTGTGACTGGACATATCCTAACTGATCAAACCGTTTCTCCACATCTACAATTAATCACCTTTTCACAGAAGAAAGACTACCTACGCTTAATCAGACCAGAGGTAAGACAAATGTGTCTATTTTTTAAAAAGTATTTTTCTGAATGATTGAAATCATTTGCATACTTTTCCATGTGACGGTATTGGTGAGATACGCATTACATCGTGGAACACCAGATATACTTCATTGTAACTTCCGGTGTTTCCAATGGTATTATTCTTCTTCTGAGTTTTGAGTGGCTTCAACATAGGCTTCAACAGCACGTCTCCACTTTATTCTATTTACTGCTATCCTCTTCTTAGTGGGGTCTACGACTGATCGTCGTCGTTCATTGCCTCCTCATGCGATCTCCTTCATGAAACATTTTCGAATTCAATGAATCTAGTTAACCTATGTTTACATGATGTATCTCTGTCACCTACTTCGGGGAATTATTCTTTTATCAACTCATATCTCCTTATTTTCCTAGGGAAATTCCTTAGCATTTATAATGTTGAGTTTGATGAAGACATAATTTGTGTTTCATATATTTACTTACTCTCTTATACATGAAAGCGATGTACTTCTTTTTGTAACCTCGCCTAAGCGTTTTAATGCATCCGCATCATCTATTAGTTGACATTGACAGGTTTGGATATACTGCATTCTCAGTAAGAGCTTCATTCTGACGTACTCAGTGAATGCAGCTTTTTTTGTCTTGATATTAGATCGTATCTCATATCATCCGTCTATTCCTTGAGTTGGCTGATGTCTCTGACAACACTTCAGGATAGGTTGTTCAAGTTTCAATCTCAGAAGCCACCATAGTTCCTTCAAGATTGTACAACCACCTTGCTGACAAGTACTGAAAGGCAGGAATCCCGTATCAGGCCTCGAACCATTTAAGAAGAATGTTGTCTTTTGTTGATCGTGATTGAATCTAGAATCCAGGATGCCGACTTAAACTCTATATGAAATGCAACTACATACACAATGAGTGATGGCAGTTTCAGTGAGACAGAGACAGTGTGCCCAGTGATCCAGATTCTAATTATTTATCCAGCAGTTCAAGCTGGTCGTGGGAGCCACCGTTTCTTCAACAAGTATGGACTATCATTTGTTTTCAAATTAATCCTCTTTTTCCCCTGATTATTTGAACTAAAATGCAGACACGTCGGCTGCTAGTTTAGATGCTTTAATGCAGTCCAGAAATGTCAGTGCAATCTCCGATGTATGTTTCATCCTGTTTGGAACTTGTGAGTCGGATGAGTTTGGATTCCCAGTGATTGTGTCTGTCCAAGTCTTACTGTGTGTTTTCCACGCCATTCTGAATAATGAAAACTATTGTCAGATTCGTGTATCAACTCATATATATCACTCCAATACACTGTTGCAGAACAAAGAGTACTTGTGAATTTCTATCAGTCACCTTTTTTTCTACCCTTTGATTTTCTCTTTAACTTACATTGATATTTTATAATCTTATAGAAAACAGATTGGCTGAATTAAGAATGAGATTCGGTAAGCAAATGAAATTTCATGTATTCATAATGAATCTGGAATTCTGATATTTATCTGTTTTCTTGAAAATTTACGTGAATATTTCTCAGACGTTTCTCCATCTACTTCATATATAAAAGGCGAGAAACTTGATAATAGGAAGAGACGTTAATCATTAAAGAAGCTAGCTACATGTCAGGCGATTTACAATGGAAGGATCAGCGAGGCCTCTGAAGTGAAGATAGGAGTAATACAAGGCTATCTACGATCAACGGAAATATCCCTGATTGTAGTAGACTGGATCATCAGCGTAAGCCAGTTTGGGGCGTGGGCACAGAAAAGACAGGAATACGTTCGACTAACAAGAAAACTATAAAATAACCTGCACATCGGAGGTAATTTATGTCTAAATTCACCCAAAACGGTATGCAGTCTGAAACTAAGCCTTTTGCAGAAGACTCAGTGAGCGTAGGATTTCAAGTGGACATAGGGAAGACGGACGTCATGAAGATACATAAACATCAACACAGAAATAATAATAATAATGATGACTATCAACTGGTGACATTTCAGGAGGGTCATTTCTTTCTGTCATTTCGACTGCACGGTTTTACCTACAAGAGGCATATATGAGGATGTCAAATGTTGGATCAGAAAACCAAAATTGACCTCTCGAATTAGAACAAAACTCTGCTTCACTCAGTATGAGGAAGAGGATACGGATCTTCAGCGCTAACGTCAAGGCAGTCAGTCTTCAAATATGCTTTAGAAAATCGAAGTATCACCAAAAGCAACAGGCTGATTCGGACATTCATGAGCATATATCGTGGCCTCACATTGAAGGTAAATAGCAAGAAAGAAGTGTGGATAGATAACTTTGAGAGAGAATCAACTAACAGCCTCTTACATACCAGATATGCCGGAGAAAATTGAGATTGGTTACAGGATTTCATCATGAGCTTACATTGGTTAGCGAACCATTGGAAAACCTGCAGGGAGTACTGGACAGCTGTTTCGTCCTAGTTTGGCACTCTGATTCACCAGTATGCGCACCACACCACAGGGTTCAAACCCAGGACCTTCTGGTTACAAGGCGAGCTCGTAAACCATTAAGCTGATGATGAAATCCTGTAACCAATCAACCGAATTCCTACAAACCAATACTTGAAAATTAAGATTGATTGCACAGACTTCGGGGAATACCGTCGGATGGCATCAGACATGAGGCTTGAGAGTGGAACTCAAATGGTAGACGATGAGTTGGACTCGAGTCTCACAGTCGCATAGAGGAGGTCTTATGAAGTGTCAGCTTAAGAGGATTTCAGATAAGAGGATGACGTGTAAATATGCTGTCAAAGCCTTATATTCCACTCGGAGACTACAGGAATAATAATAGTAATAATGTGTATGCTTAATGTATCATTCAAAACCAAAATGTGACCGATACACTGACTAAAACTAGTTGCGTGTGAAATGGTTATGGCAAACTAACACTGTCATTTGAAATCAATAGATTTCCAAACCAGGACGAAACAGCTGTACAGTAATCCCTGCTGGTTTCATAATAGTTTTTCTAACTGATGTTGTCACGTCACAAATCATGTGACCAGGCAAATCCATGAAAATCAACACTTGACAAGATATGTTTAATTATTTGCAATCTTCGACCTTTAATATATACTTTTGCCTCAAATTTTAACTTTCTTTCCCGTTTTAGAATCACTAAGTCATGTATGAAGCGATCCCAGGTAATTTCTGTCTAATGCAAACACGATTCTATACGAATCGTGAAAATAACGAATTTTCCGTTGCATGCAGCTGGCTTCATGGCTGTCAACCTTGTTTTAATCTCCTGATCATATGGTCTTCACCACGTCCCTCACGAACACTGGACGTTTTGCTTCCGAACAGCCACTCTACTCGAAGGCCAGTCGTGTTTAATCCACCTTCACTCCTTTTCGAATATGTGCGGAAGAATAGCTTATCCGATTATCCGATCTTTAATGTCAAGGGGAGGCAGCTGATTTTCAGACTAATTAACACTTGTCTTGCCTATCTGGTCTGCTTAACGGTGCCGAGTGTTGCTTGGGAGAAACTATCGAGGTGCCACTGGATGGCCTGGCGTACAGTGTCATCGTGATGTCGCCATAATCTTTGTCTATTTCATTTCATAAATATACACGTGATTCTGCATATTTTTCGGTTGGTTGGCTGTTTCGCTTGCAGATTTTCGTAATGCTGGTCATTCTGCTTATCTGGCCTGCGGTTAACTATGATTAACCATGCGAATAATCTAAATTCGAAAGTTTATCAGATATCGTGGCGTTTACTCATGGAAAGAAGAAAAACAGATAACAAGTAGAGATCTTGCTTTTTAGCCTGTGTGACTTTCCCGAAGCACAGCCTTCAGCGCATTTAGGGGCTTTAATACAGATTCTGTCACTAATTGAATTCGCTCCACTCATAACTAAATGTTCAGCAAATTGTTAAAAATTTGATACTAAGTGTGACCAATCTTCGACCAGGTGTAAATGGTCTAGCAAGAGCGGCCAAAATGACAAAACATCAAAAACCACCGAACAACAGGTAACTCTTCATCTGATAATGGTAATGACAAGTTAGATTGTGCGGTGATATCACTGGTACTACTTCTACAAGGTTGCTTCTATAATTACGACGATTTCTGATGCACCTATAATACAAACTCTAGGGGTTGTCATAGAAACGACAACGATAACAGGAGAGTATCATTGTCTCGTTCATAATTCAACAGATGTCAATGTCCCGTTATTCCATATTGTGACGACTGGTAATGTATGAATACTGTAAGTGCATAGATCATCATGCACATAAGAAGTGGTCGTCAGAGTTACACAATTGCTGCACAAAAGCTATCCTCCATCTGGTAGTTTTGAAATCAATAGCAATTCTGTTTGTTAGAATCAGCCATCAGAAACATGAAATGTGATGCAATATGGAAAATTCAGTAATGCGCTGTTGATTGTACTTATCTGGCGTACATCCTTAAGAGAAAACTTCGTATACTCATTTATTTAGATTGTGGGACTTTGTGAGGATTTGGATTAATTTCCATGTACATCCTTTCAAGAAACAATACCAGTTAAAGACCAGTTGGATTCAGGTAGCACCAAAAAGCCGCTTTGTTCACAATGAAAGCAATTTAAATCCCTACATAGATCACATAATCTTAATTCTGATCATCAGGTCACTGTTAGCTACTGTACAAGGAATTCACAGGCAGTGGGACCGACCATGTCAACATGAAGTGGATACTCATTGGAGGCACAGGTTGAGAGTGGCGCCTTATCACAAAATGACAGAAAGTAAAACTCATAGATCATTGAATACTTGCTGAAGCGGCTGAATGTTCAGTGAGGTCAAAATAGTAACAAAGTGGAAACACTTTCCCCCTCATTCCTAGTAATCTAAGTAAGACATACAGTTTCAGAAGTGAAACTAAGAATTTCCAGTAGTAGGTGGGCTGTTGTGAGGCTCATACCTAACATTTCTTCTCTCAGCGCCTGTCACAGACGAGGCGTTTTCGGGTGCATCGGCTTGTAAACAAATGCAAACCATGTGTGTGGTTATTCAGCTCTGTAGCACTGAACCGGTGGCGCACCAGAAATACACTTTCCTCATAAATGTTTTGAAAATCTATTTTAATACAATTAAGAATATTTCCCTATTCACACTTTTGCCATTTTGTGTTGTACTTGCTTTCAGCTAATTTGACGACTACGCCGGGTTACATCACTTAAGTGTAGACCACCAAACACACTTAAAATAAAAGTATAACTGGTAATACTTTTGTTACTTCTTCTGTTTTAAACAATGACTTCTAACCCCGCACACAGTAGTCAGTGTCATGATACACACCTCCGGCGAATTCTTCAAGATGGTACATATTGCTGATTATAAGGCACGTGAGGACTTAAAATCCAAACAACAAGCTTCATCCTATGATGAACCTAGAACGAAACTATAATACATCCACGTTTCTACCTTCATTATGACCTAGCGCTGTACACGGTCAAAGACGAGCAACGTTGCGTTAAGAAGCACAAGTGTTAATCCAAAAGATGCATTGTCAAAGAAATGGAATTTCAAAGAGCGCTCGTTGAACACAAAAGTGCATATCTGAGGAATATATATGAATAACAAACGAAAAGCAATGTTGCATAATGCAGTGGCAAATATTCCACAAACATCAGAAAGATTAGTATCTGTTAGCGTATAACATGTGCACACGAATTAGTTTTATAAGCATACAGTTAACCTTAATGCAAGGACCCCACAAAAATTTCCCCTGCAAACAGTAAAATATCAGTCAATACATTTAAGTGTTCGATAATAGTAGAAGTTTGTGAAATTAACAGTAACGACCAGTAGCATACAAAACTGTTAGTGTCTGACTGTTAGAAATGCGCAATTCAATCCTGAATCGTGAAATAAATAGGTGGACAGTTAACAATAATAATAGTTATTGCACTAGAGATAATTGAACTGACAATAGTAACAGTAAATACGTGTAATGATTAAAATCGGACGCATATCCCATAGACTATAGATGAAAACGATGTGTAAATATTGAACGTTACACGATTAAATGTAATTACGCTAAAAATATCGTCGACGTTTAGTCAGTAGCGATGTGAGCTATACATGAAATTATCGATAACGTGAATGAGCAGCTATATTTTTATTTCAAAAGCAAAATTCACATTAAGTTGAATTGTGACGTTGAATTTGGACGTAACGTTTTTGGCCAATGAACTCTCAAATCAGATCGCGTTGTTTCCAGGTGTTATTCCATTGATGTCGCAGTTTTAATGGTTGAACATTTAACCACCTTGTCCTGGTGGTATTTATCATATCCCGGAGGTCGTTGATAAATGCCTGTCTCGTTTTATCAGCGCTGATGACTTCTGCTTTATTAGATCGTTTTGCCTTGATCACGTCGTCATTTCTCTCTAGAGCTCTAAATAGGCCGTAGTAGAAAGGTTGGGATGGTTGCTGTACACTAAGCCTCCTGACAGAAACGTGAATGCAGTTTGCCACTTGTGGCAGTATGTATGATAGTCGTTGCTAATGGCATGGGGGCGATGTTTTTGGCTCATCCATGAGTTGCCACAGTAGATGCGCATAGTCAGTCATCTCATGTGGAACTTGGTTATCTAGGGTGAAAAACACACTTGTTGACCGTAGTGTTGTCGTATAGACTAACTAGCAAACGCAGCATCCGATGTCTTTCCTTTAAGTTTTCGGTATACTCAGTGTTACTGGTAGGAGTTTGTTCGACCAGCCGTTTCCGTTGATAGAGGCAGCAAGTGCAGAATGAAGTTGCCTAAAATCGTTTGACCATCCTATTGGGAACAGGGTGATACGAGGTCATTCGTATTCGCATAAATTCTAGTTTAAAAAGGAAAATTCACAATAAGTTGAATTATGACTATTTGAAGTGTCGACTTCATTTTCCAGCGTCGAGAACATATTGCTGCTTTTCTGAAATCGTTTAATGATACACTTCTTATATCTGATGATAAGTAGCACTCACAAGAATATGTACCACTAGTCAGAGTTCTATTGGGAGCGTGGCTTGTATTTTGACCGACTATGTGTGTGTCGCCATTGAGAGGAATTCCGTAGATGATAGGAGGAAAACAAGGACTATTTGACCTCAGTAGTTGCTGAATGGAGCTGCATAACCCTATCAATGCATTGCCCCTGCTCGAAATCTGTTCAGTGACTGGGCATACTCCATTGACTGGCCGTTGTGTTATTTCTAAAATTGCATCGGCAGAAGTACCTTAGTCGTCTGTAATAACACCATCAAGTGTCACAAGCACAGCTTGTATTGCCTGTGGTAGTTTGAACAAAAACAGCTCTCTGAAGAGTCTTTCGTCAAAGTGACTTTGACCAGTTATTTTTCTGCACTCTGGTTAGCGTGTTCACAGTTGACGACTGATCGCCTACCTCGACGCTCCAAAGTAGTTCGCCAAGACGCGGTTGATCCATAAGGTCGTTTCCCTTCACGATAGTCGCTTTGAGCATTTTATGGGCTTGACACAAGCACAATTACTCATTTTCAATGACCACTGTAGGGCGTGGATAACTGCAAGGAGCAGTGAGAGCTACTCAGTGGCCCTATGCTGACTAAAATTATACTCAGCTATTTGAAATCATGATTACACATTATCTGACGAAAATTACTCGAGCTAGTTTGACCGAATTCGGATGACCTTAGTAGTTTGGTCACTCATCGTGAAATATATGTAATTTAAAGAATGGAACAAGCTCACCAGATTTGTTTGTGTATTTATTAAAGATGATATTCCCCGTAGAGCTCACCAGAGGGCATTGATGCTCACGGATAGTACGAAGTAGACCAAAGGCAAAGCAAAAAACTGGATTTGATCAGACAAATTATGAATTGTATTTCGGGAGAAAATTAGAGTACGCGATGATTGCCTAACTAATAATAATTATAATTTATATTTTGCATGAACGAGTAGGCTTACAGGAGATGCATACTTTTTTTACAGGCACGATTAGTTATGTTATAGATCACAATCCTTAAGTATCACAAATTATTACTTCCGCAAAAGTTTAAAAGCTAAATTGTTTGTGTTTTATTAAAAATATACAGCAAAACACCTATTAAAGTCTTCTCACACCTGTCTATGATAGCACAACAAAGATGCTACGCTTCTGCTAAC